GGACTTCGTCGTCGAAATGGCTTACAACCGCCATCTGCTCCTTGCCTCCATCTTGCTGCTGGGGGTGGTGATGCTGGCCTTGAGCCCTGCATCATCTTGTCCTGATCGTCGCCGAGAGAGACCTCAACCCCAGCCAACGCCACCGCCTCGGGTGGAGTACACCTGCCGAAGGGACCGGAACATCCGCAGGGACACTCTGGAGCAAATAGATTGCTCAGGGCGCCGAAGGTTTACGCTCCGTGACTGTGAGGAACACTGCACAAAGTTGCACCGCTGTGCGGGATTGGTGTTCATTGAGGACCGCCAAAGGTGGGAGAGGCGCAGGTACTGCTGCATCCTCAAGTCACGCTTTGCCAACCTAGTCAGCGCACGCGGCTACACGGCCTGTGAGAAGAAAACGAGGAGTTAAATCATCAGACCCCAACCGAGAAGGCAGGAGAGCGGGTGGCTGGCTTAAGGGATGCTCACTCTAGGACCTTCCTGGATGCGTCTAACCTCCTTCACTGCTAGATTCAATCAGGAAAGTTCTTGTATGTGTGTATGCCCCTGATGGCCAGCGCTTTGGTGCAAGGCTGTTGTCATGACTGATCTGTCATGATGTCATGATGAGTGCGTTCGCCTGTGCAGCCCTCCTCCATCTCAGTGAGTACTGTGGAGACTATGGACCATGAGATTCATTCAGTCTGTGGTCTCAAAATGGATTCCAAGTGCTGCCCTTAGTACATAATAATCACTGCTGTTCATCACATGGGAGTGGCAGAGCATCTATAGACTATAGCTATTGTATATTACCTGGCATCTGGTCAGCAGGCTGCTGAGATTTGACCATCGCAGACATTACTTTCAGGTGTCTAAAGCAGCAACGATCGTCATCACCTGCAAGAGTGAGAAGTACCTTTGGTCAATGTTCAGCACTAGTGGTGTATGGAGTGGGAATTCACCGCTGATCCACGCGTGCGTAGGACCGGAGTGGAACAATGGAATGAGGATGAAATGATGAACATCTCGAATGAATGCACTTTAGTCAGTGTGGTTAAGCCAATTGCAGTTACACAACAGATGTCTGCAGCTGTAAGTCAAGGAAGAAGCTTCCTCCTCCAGCTATATGTGCCTCAACTCCCCTGGTCTCAGCTTCTCAGGTTATCACTTTCATCTAGCACGGAGCAGCTGCAGCTGTGTATGGTCATGTGTGAACCATACGCGTCCCTCATATCCAGCTGCAGCTGATGTTCATGTTGTTTTTTCGGAGGAGTACACGTACTCATTGTTGCAGCGCAATGCAAAGGAAGCAAAACGTGAATAACTGGATCAGCTCCTGCATCGATGGCCCATAAAAAAAGGATTCCCGGCAATCATAATAATGATGTAATAATAATTATAATTAAACACTTGGTTTTGTGGCTTGTGCCCAAACTTCAGATCCTCAAAATCCTCCTCTGCCCAACCGCAGGCAGTGTGGGTCAAAGCTCTCTCTCTCTCTCTCTCTCTCTCTCTCTCTCTCTCTCTCTCTCTCTCTCTCTCTCTCTCTCTCTCTCTCTCTCTCTCTCTCTCGTCTCGCTCTCGTCTGTCCATCCAGTTGTGTCTGAGCCAGTGTGTGTGCGAGTGTGTGCGTGTGCATGCGGCTTTTGAGCATGACTTCTCCTGAAATCAGCTGCATAGTTCGTTTTGCGGAGTGTTTGTCAGGGATGCACAAGATGATTTGAGACCACTGAGAGAAATTAAAAATAACTTTAAATAAGATATACATTAGACTCATGATTAGAGGGAATTGTGGCTGTGTCGCACTTTTTAATTTGAAATCGGCAAGAGAAAAGACAAAGTGGCGTGATATTCATTGCGTGAAAGAAATTGCGATGAAATATTCTACTCGTGCAAACTGGGATGCTGGACCCGATTTCCAGCAGGAGACGCTCCCCACCAATAGATGGAGCCTCTCCGCCGGTGGTAGTGCTCTCTGCTCTTATCAGCAGCACTAGCACTGGAAGGGGTGTTTTGGTTTAAAAAAAAAGAAAAAAAAAAGGATATTCATTGCGTGAGTATGAAAAATGTGCAATTTTAGCGTTGGTTTAAGGCCGCCTGAGTCATTAGCCGGTGTAGTGAACGCGATTTTAGCGTTCAACTTGCCCTTTTTTGCCATTTTTTGAGTACTGCTAAACTTGTGCATTCTGAACATGGGGTGTGACTTGAAAGTACATGCCCCAATATATTGATATAACCTACCTGAACACCCCGTACCAATATCTATATATCATATATAGATATATGTAAATATCATTATTAAAATATGTAGATATCTAGATATGTGTTTGTTTGTGTACATGTATATGTACAACAGTACAACTATGCTTTCCTGCTTGAACTGAGATGTCAGATGCTCTCCCTTGGATTATCATAGGTACCTCTCTCTCTCTCTCTCTCTCTCTCTCTCTCTCTCTCTCTCTCTCTCTCTCCTGATTTGTCTGGGTATTTGTGTGTGTGTTTGTGTGTGTGCATGTGTTTGCGAGCATGACTTCTCCTGTGGCCGTCGCTCTTGCGCAGATTGAATCCACTGCACGGGCAAGGATGCTCCTCGACAGTTGTGTAAACCTTTTGATTGTGTATCGGTGCGGCTACGTTCCTGCCACAGATTGTATCCTGGTTTTGACGATATCTGCTAGAGCCTTATCCTTCACGCCACTATCTACGACCTTTTCGCCCACCTCCCAGACTCCACCTTTTTTTTTTTTTTTTTTTTTTTTTTTTTTTTTTTTT